AGTTATGGAAATGGATCAGGTGATAGACGACCAAAAGGACAGTACACAATGAAGGGGAACTGCCTACCTGTAACAATTCGAGAAAGAGACCTGGGAGTGGATGTGACACCTAATCTAACTCCTGAGGCACATATAAATAGGATAACGACAGCAGCGTACTCTACACTGGCGAAAATTAGAACTTCATTCAGAAAGGTAAATGAGGAGGCTTTTAGGGCGCTTTACACTGCCTACGTGAGACCCGTCTTAGAGTATGCCGCGCCATCATGGAGCCCCCACCTGAAGAAACACATAAGGAAACTAGAGAAGGTTCAGAGGTTTGCGACGAGGCTTGTCCCAGAATTGCGAGGGATGGGATATGAAGATCGTCTGAGGGAACTGAACCTTACGACACTAGAGAAAAGAAGGGAGAGAGGAGATATGATAGGAACATATAAAATACTCAGGGGAATTGACAAAGTGGAAATAGATGAAATGTTCACACGTAATAATAACAGAACGAGGGGACATGGGTGGAAACTGGAAACTCAGATGAGTCACAGAGATGTTAGGAAGTTTTCTTTTAGCGTGAGAGTAGTGGAAAAATGGTATGCACTTGGGGAACAGGTTGTGGAAGCAAATACTATTCATACTTTTAAAACTAGGTATGATAGGGAAATGGGACAGGAGTCATTGCTGTAAACAACCGATAGCTGGAAAGGCGGGATCCAAGAGTCAATGCTCGATCCTGCAAGAACAAATAGGTGAGAACACACACACGCACACGTGCCAAACATGCGCACACGCGAACACTTGCGCGCTCGTACACAAGGGGACACAAAAACAATACCGAGTAATCACGACAATAGCGCCAGAGTGGAGGAAAGCGCGGGGGGGGGGGGGGGACTGTTAGGTGGTGAGGCAACAGCTGGACGACCACCACCACGACGACCACCACCACCATCACCACCACGACGACGACCAAGGGGACACGACGACTCCAGACACGTGTTTTATCTTCATCTCAGCCCCCCCCCCCCCACTTCCCCCTCCTCTACACTCTTCAACCTTCCTTCTCGTTCTTTCCTCTCCCTTCCCTCTTGCTTCCGCTTTCCTTCTCTCCTTCCCTTCCCCTCCCCCATTCCGCCGGGTCTCCCCCCCCTCCCCATTCCGCCTGGCACCCCCCCCCTCCCCATTCCGCTTGGCACCCCCCCTCCCCATTCCGCCTGGTACCCCCCCCCCCTCCCCCTGTATGTGTGTACGTATGTGTAGCATTAATGTACAATCGATGGGTTAATGTTTCTCTCAGACACACACAAGACCCTTGTACCTCTCCTCTTAACCCCCCCCCCCCTTCCCACCCAGCCTCCTCTTTAGCCACGCTGCCACTCTGCCGCGCCCTGCTGCCACTCTGCCGCTCCCTGCTGCCTCTCTGCCGCGCTCTGCTGCCACTCTGCCGCGCCCTGCTGCCACTCTGCCGCGCCCTGCTGCCACTCTGCCGCTCCCTGCTGCCTCTCTGCCGCGCCCTGCTGCCACTCTGCCGCGCCCTGCTGCCACTCTGCCGCTCCCTGCTGCCTCTCTGCCGCGCCCTGCTGCCTCTGCCGCGCCCTGCTGCCTCTCTGCCGCGCCCTGCTGCCTCTCTGCCGCGCTCTGCTGCCACTCTGCCGCTCCCTGCTGCCTCTCTGCCGCGCCCTGCTGCCTCTCTGCCGCGCCCTGCTGCCTCTCTGCCGCGCCCTGCTGCCTCTCTGCCGCGCCCTGCTGCCTCTCTGCCGCGCCCTGCTGCCTCTCTGCCGCGCCCTGCTGCCACTCTGCCGCGCCCTGCTGCCTCTCTGCCGCGCCCTGCTGCCTCTCTGCCGCGCTCTGCTGCCACTCTGCCGCGCCCTGCTGCCTCTCTGCCGCGCCCTGCTGCCTCTCTGCCGCGCCCTGCTGCCTCTCTGCCGCGCCCTGCTGCCTCTCTGCCGCGCCCTGCTGCCTCTCTGCCGCGCCCTGCTGCCTCTCTGCCGCGCCCTGCTGCCTCTCTGCCGCGCCCTGCTGACTCTCTGCCGCGCCCTGATGCCTCTCTGCCGCGCCCTGCTGCCATTCTGCCGCGCCCTGCTGCCTCTCTGCCGCGCCCTGCTGCTTCTCTGCAGCGCTCTGCTGCCTCTCTGCCGCGCCCTGCTGCCACTCTGCCGCGCCCTGCTGCCTCTCTGCCGCGCCCTGCTGCCTCTCTGCCGCGCTCTGCTGCCACTCTGCCGCGCCCTGCTCCCTCTCTGCCGCGCCCTGCTGCCTCTCTGCCGCGCCCTGCTGCCTCTCTGCCGCGCCCTGCTGCCTCTCTGCCGCGCCCTGCTGCCTCTCTGCCGCGCCCTGCTGCCTCTCTGCCGCGCCCTGCTGCCTCTCTGCCGCGCCCTGCTGCCTCTCTGCCGCGCCCTGCTGCCACTCTGCCGCGCCCTGATGCCTCTCTGCCGCGCCCTGCTGCCATTCTGCCGCGCCCTGCTGCCTCTCTGCCGCGCCCTGCTGCCTCTCTGCCGCGCCCTGCTGCCTCTCTGCCGCGCCCTGCTGCCTCTCTGCCGCGCCCTGCTGCGTCTCTGCAGCGCTCTGCTGCCTCTCTGCCGCGCCCTGCTGCTTCTCTGCCGCGCCCTGCTGCCTCTATGCCGCGCCCTGCTGCCACTCTGCCGCGCCCTGCTGCCTCTATGCCGCGCCCTGCTGCTTCTCTGCCGCGCCCTGCTGCCTTTATCCCGCGCCCTACTGCCACTCTGCCGCGCCCTGCTGCCTCTCTGCCGCGCCCTGCCGCGCCCTGCTGCCTCTCTGCCGCGCCCTGCTGCCTCTCTGCCGCGCCCTGCTGCCTCTCTGCCGCGCGCTGCTGCACTCTGCCGCGCCTTGCTGCCTCTCTGCCGCGCCCTGCTGCTTCTCTGCCGCGCCCTGCTGCCACTCTGCCGCGTGCTGCTGCCACTCTGCCGTGCCTTGCTGCCTCTCTGCCGCGCCTTGCTGCCTCTCTGCCGCGCCCTGCTGCCTCTCTGCCGCGCCCTGCTGCCACTCTGCCGCGCCCTGATGCCTCTCTGCCGCGCCCTGCTGCCATTCTGCCGCGCCCTGCTGCCTCTCTGCCGCGCCCTGCTGCCTCTCTGCCGCGCCCTGCTGCCTCTCTGCCGCGCCCTGCTGCTTCTCTGCAGCGCTCTGCTGCCTCTCTGCCGCGCCCTGCTGCTTCTCTGCCGCGCCCTGCTGCCTCTATGCCGCGCCCTGCTGCCACTCTGCCGCGCCCTGCTGCCTCTATGCCGCGCCCTGCTGCTTCTCTGCCGCGCCCTGCTGCCTTTATCCCGCGCCCTACTGCCACTCTGCCGCGCCCTGCTGCCTCTCTGCCGCGCCCTGCTGCCTCTCTGCCGCGCCCTGCTGCCTCTCTGCCGCGCCCTGCTGCCTCTCTGCCGCGCCCTGCTGCCTCTCTGCCGCGCGCTGCTGCCACTCTGCCGCGCCTTGCTGCCTCTCTGCCGCGCCCTGCTGCTTCTCTGCCGCGCCCTGCTGCCACTCTGCCGCGCCCTGCTGCCTCTCTGCCGCGTGCTGCTGCCACTCTGCCGTGCCTTGCTGCCTCTCTGCCGCGCCTTGCTGCCTCTCTGCCGCGCCCTGCTGCTTCTCTGCCGCGCCCTGCTGCCACTCTGCCGCGCCCTGCTGCGTCTCTGCCGCGTGCTGCTGCCACTCTGCCGTGCCTTGCTGCCTCTCTGCCGCGCCCTGCTGCCTCTCTGCCGCGCCCTGCTGCCTCTCTGCCGCGCCCTGCTGCCTCTCTGCCGCGCCCTGCTGCCTCTATGCCGCGCCCTGCTGCCTCTATGCCGCGCCCTGCTGCCTCTCTGCCGCGCCCTGCTGCCTCTATGCCGCGCCCTGCTGCCTCTATGCCGCGCCCTGCTGCCTCTATGCCGCGCCCTGCTGCCTCTATGCCACGCCCTGCTGCCTCTATGCCGCGCCCTGCTGCCTCTATGCCGCGCCCTGCTGCCTCTCTGCCGCGTCATGCTGCCTCTATGCCGCGCCCTGCTGCCTCTATGCCGCGCCCTGCTGCCTCTATGCCGCGCCCTGTTGCCTCTATGCCGCGCCCTGCTGCCTCTATGCCGCGCCCTGCTGCCTCTATGCCGCGCCCTGCTGCCTCTCTGCCGCGCCCTGCTGCCTCTATGCCGCGCCCTGCTACCTCTATGCCGCGCCCTGCTGCCTCTATGCCGCGCCCTGCTGCCTCTATGCCGCGCCCTGCTGCCTCTATGCCGCGCCCTGCTCTCCCTTTGCCACATCACCAGCTATATATCGCCCCTATACTCATTCTAACACATTTTTGCCTTTCTCCGCCCCATTTTACGTGCCTCTTTCTATCGGATTGTTTCCCTTTCCCTCTGTCAGAAAGGGAAAGGAGACACCCTACACCTTTCCGACACCCCATACGAACCCCCCCACTAATAGTCCTCCCTCATCACCCCACCACCATACAGTCCCCCCCTCACCCCATTCCTAGTTACACAGTATACCCCACCACAGTATACCTCTTATCAGCAGGAGCTGGTTGGGGATTTAACCCCAAAAGGGAGCTCTGGGTGTTGCACCAGACTGTTACTGTCGTACAGGCGTACAATCCCCAATCACTCCCTGATGCAACAAACAGCCGACCTCAGCAACCACGCTACGCTATAGTCGGTCGAATTGCTGTAATATCCCAAAACCATTGTAATATCCCTCTGACCTGTATGATCGTGCATATACCCTTACATTGCAATGGACACTGAAAAGCTTGCAATTGACCTAGATCACGTGTACGCATCTTGATCTTGGAGAGGGGCTTCAGCGTCTTCTATTGAGGGATGCGACTGCAAAACTTAGGGACAACAGGATCAACTTCGCGGGTTTTCTTCCTATTAGGAGGTGTTGTACTGTTGACCAGATCACACACTAGAAAGTGAAGAGACGACGACATTTCGGTCCGTCCTGGACCATTCTGAAGTCGATTGTGTGATAGCAGCTTGTACATGCTGCTATGGCGGTATGTTCACTCACAGGATGAGTGACGCTGACCCAAGAAACTAGTCCTACGGAGGAAAATTAGTTTGAAAGCTTTATTGCCAGGATGGCGGTTATTGTTGTTGTTAAAGATTCGCTACCTGGAACAAAAAGTCCCAAGTAGCACGGGCTATGGTGAGCCCGTAGAAATAGGATGGCGGGTTAAACCGAATTGAATTCAAGTAAAAGCATACAACCCCATTCCCGCTCTCCTTCCTGTCCTCTCTCTTACCCTCCCCTTCCCTTTGCCCTTCCCTTCCCTCTACCCCACCTCCCCCCCCCCGCCCCCCCCCATGCACTCTCCCCGCTAATACTCCCATGTTTCTGAAACGGAGCCCTAGACACGCCCCGAGCCTTTCAGGGCCGGCCCTTAACTGCTTGTTAAGAGCAGTGAACAAGGGTCTCGCTCATTAAGTAATGGTTCGCTTCTAAAGATTCTCAGAATCTATATTTTTAAATGAATTTTGCGGGCGTCGCCTCTCCCACGTACAAGGGTGAGGGGGAGAGAGGAAGAGGGAGGAAAGGGGAAGGGGTGAGAAGGGGGGAAGGGGTGAGAAAGGGGAATGGGTGAGAAAGGGGAATGGGTGAGAAAGGGGAATGGGTGAGAAAGGGGAATGGGTGAGAAAGGGGAAGGGGTGAGAAAGGGGAAGGGGTGAGAAAGGGGAAGGGGCAAGAGGTGAGGGGGGAGAGACTGGGTTGTGCTTTTCCCAAGCAACTGTGGGAATGTGTGTGTGTCAATTTGTATACCTCGTGCAAGCTGCTCTTGGGCTAGAACTCGTCAAGCCTTTTACGTATTTACCTACGAAACCTGTACATCTCTCCCCCTTATCATGGCGGCTTAGTTTGTATTTATTAAGCGGTTTACGTGCTTGGAAGCGCTGCGAGAGTGTTCTCAACACAAGGCTACTGTTGTTATAGCCGACCTTGTCGTGCTACAGAGCTCATAAGAGCTTATCAAATACCAACTAAGCAGTGAGTAACACCAGTTTACGGGCTCACCATAGCCCGTGCTACTTGGAACTTTTTGTTCCAAGTAGTGAATCTTAAACAACGACAACAACCAACTAAGCCGCCTTGAGTGATACATTCTTGATGAGTTGTGCACCTGGTGACAGGTGAGGTGTGGTGATTGGCATCACGCTGTCTTACGGCATAATCCAGAGTGATG